TGGTATTTCTGTTAATCTTTTTTCCTCTCCTATGGATGCTGTTTCTATTCTTGATTCTGGTAGCCTCTCGTGGGGTTTTAAGTCCATAGGGTCCCCCTTCGGGAATTTGATTTCTGTCGTCCTCCAATTTACCCAGGGGTTCCATTTTGTCAACCATTCCATCCCTAGAATCATTGGGCATTCCATACCTGGGGTCACCACAAACGTTAAGTCCTCTTCATGGTTGCCCAGGGAGAGATGTATTGGCAAAGTGGCTAGGGTAGCTGGCACCCCCCCTGCTATGGATCCATCTAGCTGGCCAAATGAGATGGGTTGTTCCAGTCTCCTGGATGGGATGCCCAGATTCCCCACTAGGGTTGGGCTAATGAGGCAGCGGGTACAGCCAGAGTCTATTAAGGCTTTCACCTTCACAGCTTCGGGCATGGGGGGGGATTAATATAGTCACTGTTTTGAAGATGGGTGTGATGCATCCACTTACCAGGGGTTCGCCCTCCGAGCTGTCATCTGAGGCATCCACCGGCCCTGTGGTGTAGGCTGGAGTTCTTTCCCCTTGGTGAGCAGAGGTGGGGTTTTCTGCAATTTCCATCATTTTCATGGCTGTTTCTTTTGGCTTAGCTGACTACCCTCTGGGTTTGTTGATTGGGGATCTGTCTGGGTTGTGCTGGGGGGCCTTTGAGCGGCATTCTACAGCTCGATGCCCTTCTCTTCCGCACTTGAAACACCCCATCTGCTTCTTGGCTGTATCCGATGATTTCACCGGTTGGTGTGTCAGCTCAGGCGGGGGGCGGCTCCATTGTTTTCATCGGCGATGCCTCTTCAATATGTCGATCTCTGCTTCCTCTGCCAAGACGTACCATTCCTCAAGTCGATGTGGGTCTCCTCGGGGCAGGCAAGCATCATATAGATCATAGTTTAGTCCATCTTTGAAACGGCCAAGGAGGATGTCTTCTGGCCAATTCAGTTTGCTGGCAATGGCTCGGAATTCTTGTGTATACTCAGCCACTGGGCGTTTGCCCTGCCTCATCGTTGTTATTCTTTCCCGGGCTTTGCGATCAGCCAGGGGGTCTTCAAACCGTCTTCTCAACGAGGACATGAAACGGTTGAAGTTACTGAGTTCTGGGGCATTGGAGTAATGCAGGTTCACCACCCAATCTGCAGCTGGTCCATCCAGGGCAGATTGCACGATCCGGATGCGGGCTTTGTCGCTGGGGATGTCCTGCCCATATTCCTCCATGTAGCTGAGGACTTGGGTTATGAAAAACCCCAAGCGTGTTGGCTCCCCTTTGAATTTCACCTCCAACGGTGGACGTCTTGGAATGGATCGGTGCCTCCATTGTGGGTGGTAGTGTCTTCCGTCCAGATTTCCATCTGTGGTCCGGTAGGGGGGGGGAGCTCCTGGATCAGTAAATGTCCCTGGGGTTGCAGGTTCCACGTCCCCCTCGGTGTCTCTCCCTTTGTGGCTCCAGGAACTGGGGCGGGCGTAGGGCTCAGGAATCTCCTCTCATAGGGAGCTGAGAGTTCTCTTCATCAGGTCAATAGCTCTCTCTAGGATCCAGTCTGAGTACGGCATACAGCTTCCTCCCTCTTCACTTGCGTGCAGGGATTTCTCCATCTCCTGCTTCCATTATGGTTGCTTGGTTCCCCGTCTCAGGGTCACTTTTCTTGATTCCTTTCCCCACTCGCTTTTCTTTCCAACGCCCATCGACCAGCGAGGCTTGTGGTCCTGTGTCGCCACCACTTCTTCTTCTGAGAAATCTGGCCTCTCGGATCCCAACATCTGGCAAGGTTCCAACTGGGTCAGCGGCTCTCTCTTTTCTCCCTCTCTTGCTTCGTTGTCTGACATGGTAAATTTTTGCAAAATCCCCCGGCAAGGGTCTACCTTCCAGGTGGATTAATTTTGCAAGTCCTGTCTAATGTAAGGACCCACCCCACTTTGCCTCTTAAGAAGACAGAACTCTTGGAATAGCTCTTCCAACAGGAATCCTTTATTAAGAGAAAATGGTTGCAGGCATGCTAGACAGGACTTGGGGTTCAAGCTCTCCCATTCAAGGTTTTAAGGGGTTCCCCAGTAGTCCAACCCAATCAACCCCCCTTCCAGTGATAGTTTCAAGTATCACAATTCCATCCCCTTTCTTCTTCCGTCTGGATGGAGACTTCAGATAACTACATGAAAGGCAATTACTCTTCTTTGATATGTTAAAGCTTAGAGGCCACAATAAACACACATTCAGTCCTTTGAAGTGTGCTGAAGGAAGTGAGGGCCATAAAGCCCCTTTGCCCTCCCCCTTTTCTCCCTCTTATGGCAGAATCCAGAGAAGGCAGAATTGGGAGTTTCTATGTTTGATAATTAAAGATGAAATATAATTGGATTCTGACACAAAGTCAATAGGGGAAGCTAGATTTATTTAACAACCGCCTTACTAACTTAACATCTGCAGCGATTCACTTAACGGGTGGCAAGAAAGTTCGTAAAATGGAGCCAAAACTCACCTCACCACTCTCTCATTGAGCAAGAGAAATTGGGGGGCCAATTGTGATAGTAAGTCGAGCAATAGTAGTAACTGTGAGAGGATCTTGGAGTCCTAGACGACAATCACTTAAATATGAGCCAGCCATGTGCTGCAGCTTCCAAAAAGGCCAACACAGTGCTAGGCTGCATTAACAGAGGGATAGAATCAAGATCACGTGAAGTATTAATACCATTTTATAATGCCTTGGTAAGGCCACACCTGGAATACTGCATCCAGTTTTGGTCACCACGATGTAAAAAAGATATTGAGACTCTAGAAAGAGTGCAGAGAAGAGCAACAAAGAAGATCAGGGGAATGGAGGCTAAAACATATAAGGAACGGTTGCTGGAATTGGGTATATGTCTAGTCTAATGAAGAGAAGGGTGAGGGGGGACATGATAGCAGTCTTCCAATATCTCAGGGGCCGCCCCAAAGAGGGAGTCAAGCTATTCTCCAAAGTGCCTGAAGGCAGGATGAGAAGCAACAGATGGAAACTGATCAAGGAGAGAAGCAACCTAGAACTAAGGAGAAACTTCCTGACAGAACAATTAATCAGTGGAACAACCTGCCTCCAGAAGCTGTGAATGCTCCAACACTGGAAGTTTTTAAGAAGAGACTGGACAGCCATTTGTCTGAAATGGTATAGGGTTTCCTGCCTGAGCAGGGGGTTGGACTAGATGACCTCCAAGGTCCCTTCCAACTTCTTCTTCTTCTTCTTCTTCTTCTTCTTCTTCTTCTTCTTCTTCTTCTTCTTCTTCCTTCTTCTTCTTCTTCTTCTTCTTCTTCTTCTTCTTCTTCTTCTTCTTCTTCTTCTTCTTCTTCTTCTTCTTCTTCTTCTTCTTCTTCTTCTTCTTTACCTATATATGGAAAATGGCTTAAAATCCCTGGATGAATTTTAGCCAGGGCACTAAAACAGATTTATTATTATTTTTTAAATCAAACCCAGCAGGGATATTCTTCTATCTAACTATGGGAAGCATTGCTGCTCAGCCCACATTCATTTAGTTCCAAAGGAAAGCAAAATTTTTCTGGGGAGCTGTGATCTCTGGTGATCCAGTAGGTGCCGCTCAACACAAGGAAAAAAACACACTGAATCCAGCCCTCCCATCTCTTCCACTGGCTTTTCAAACAAGGGTCCTTTAGAACACAGCAGCTGCACACTCTTGAAAATGCACCCTTTTACTCGTAGTTGTTGTGAATTTGCCATTGACTTTCCAGATGCTGGGCTTCCGGTCTTCCATAAGAGGACAGGCAGGACAAGAAGCAACGGATGGAAACTAATGAAGAAGAGAAGCAACCTAGAACTAAGGAGGAATTTCCTGACAGTCAAAACGATGAATCAGTGGAACGGCTTCCCTCCAGAAGTTGTGGATGTTCCAACACAGGAGGTTTTTAAGAAGAAACTGGACAACCATTTGTCTGAAATGTTATAGGATTTCCTGCCTGAGCAGGGGGTTGGACTAGATGACCTCCAAGGTCTCTTCCATTGTCATCGTCATCGTCATTGTCATTCTCCTCCTCCTCCTCATTATATTATTATTATTATGGATCATCGCACAGTCAGCCAGATGTTCAGGCTGGATTTGGCATTTTGTCTACCTACTGAGTCCTTCCCAAGGACCTGGGATAGGCAGATGTGGATGTTTGATGGTATTACAGGTATTGTCACAAGATGGAAGCAGTTCCTAGTAAGGCCGCCTTTTGCAATTGACTAATGGTTATTATTATTATGGATCATCGCACAGTCAGCCAGATGTTCAGACTGGATTTGGCATTTTGTCTACCTATCGAGTCCTTACCCAGGACCTGGGATAGGCAGATGTGGATGTTTGATGGTATTACAGATATCGTCGCAGGATGGAAGCAGTTCCTAGTAAGGCCGCCTTTTGCAATTGACTAATAGCGAATTTGTCAATGCCAATGGTATTATTATTGTTTCCCTACCCCTACAAAAGAGAAACTCACCACAGGTTTTTCTGAAACTGCACGCAGAGCACAATAGAGATGGTATTCACCTCCTGCTCCTTAAATACAGGTAGTCTTCGACTTACAACAGTTCATTTAGTGACCGCTTCCAAAAAGAGACTGGACAACCATTTGTCTGGAATGGTATGGTGGAGGGACTCCTGCTAGAAGACCTCCAAGGTCCCTTCCAGGTCTATTCTGAGTTGAAAAAAGACATAAGAAACAAGAGTGGAAGCACCAGGCTTGTGACGAGTTGTTCCCATGGCGAATTGACCAGGGCCACGTGATGGCAGTCCGAGACCCCCTCTGTTTGTTCAGAAATATGGTAATTGTAATGGCAGACCTACAGCAGGGGCATCTGCTGGCGATTTGTGTCAAAACGTGCAGCCTTGTGTTTTGAAAAATTTGAAGAGCTGAATTGGGTCACGCCGAGAGGCGGATATGGAAATCAGGCGCAAACTGCACAGAGTTTTGAACAGCCACTCTCTGTGTTTAAGAAGGACAAATAAAGACAGCAGAATCCGGTGGCATGGCTAAATCATTTTATTTACATGCTTCCTTAGCAGATACAATGCTCAAAGCAACCCACAGTAGAACAAATGAAACATAGTAGAACAAATGAAACACAGTACAAGTCAAAATAATCTAGAATTCTCTATCTGGTTATTAATGCAATTGTTAATCTAATTGGTTATCTGGGTTATATGGATCTTTGGTGTCTGGATGAAACTGCTGTCTACGAAACATTGAACGGAAATAGAACTCGGCAAAACCCGGAAACTAACACATAACAAATTGATTTACACTATTGTTTTGTATACAATCCTTGCATCTCAAATTGCGTAGACTAGCAATGATTTCCAAGCGTAACTGGCAAGCCAGAGGTTAGCAAGAAAACTCATTTACTTGAAATAGTCTTAATTTATTTGTGCACATATGTTTACAGCAAAATGTACACTGGGTTAAATCAATCAAGTTTTTTTTCCTCAACATTTTTCTCAACATTCCTGACATGAGTGTAAAAATAAACTCATAAGAGGGTTGGCACATAATTGTTCCCCTGTTTATTGGGCTAAGAATGCAACCACAATGAAGAAACTCCTTTGAACTTCAAAAATATTCCTTTTGTTGGTTTCTTCTTCCACTTTCTCCTGAAATATAGCAACGATTAGGTGGGGGGCGGGGGGAATGCTAACAGCCCAAAGTTTTATTTTTTGGAGAAACCAGATCAGGGTCAAAAGTGGGGGATTTTATCTCCCCGGATTGAGATGTTGTTCAGATATTTGGGGAAACTCTTTCAATGCTGTTCTCAAATGTCAAGGTTACGTTTGCTTTTAACATCCAAAGCCTAAAATAAAAACACAAGACATGATTGAACTGAATGAAGGACCAGGCTCCGGTCAATAAAATGTCAACACTTTGGGGGAAAAGTGAATTGATCTCCCTCCATGCTCACGCAAGTATATCACAGCTAGTTCTCAAGTTACAACAGTACAGCTAGTCCTCGACTCACAACAGTTATGACCGTTTTTCACACGACCGTTGCAACATCCCCAAGGTCACGTGACCAAAATTCAGATGCCTATTTACGGCCGTTGTAATGTCCCGGGATCCTGTGATCCCCTTTTGTGATCTGACAAGCAAAGTCAATGGGGGAGCCAGCTTCCCTTAACAACACTGGAGGTTGCTAACTTAACAACTGTGACAAGAAAGGTGAGAGGGACAAAAGTCACTTAAAAAATGTTTCACTTAGAAACATTGGGCTCAGTTGTGGTTGCAAGTTGAGGACTGCCTGTAATTGAGCCCAGGCAATTAGGGTCGTAAGTTGTGACGATTTGGAAAACGGATCGTCAGACGATTTTATGTCCTTTTATCCTGAATATATTCTTACATTCTGCTTGAGCAAAGAGAGGCAGCCATTTTTTTCTGGTGATCTTGGGGAGAATGCTGTGGTCGTTAATGGAAATTAATCAAGGAGAGAAGCAACCTAGAACTAAGGAGAAATTTCCTGACAGTGAGAACGATTAACCAGCCTGCCTCCAGAAGTGGTGAATGCTCCAACACTGGAAGTTTTTAAGAAGAGACTGGACAGCCATTTGTCTGAAATGGTATAGAGTTTCCTGCCTGAATGGGGTTGGACTAGAAGACCTCCAAGGTCCCTTCCAACACTGTTATTCTATTCTAAAGCACATGGATTGGCTGCTAAATTAGCAGATTTCAAACAAACAAGAGTTGCATCTTTACCAGGGGATTCTGTGTTTGTATGGGTCCAAAAAGTCAAGATGGTGGCTGCGGAACCTAAGGCCCTGCCCCCTTTACAGGTGTTGCATAGAAGGGGTGGGGCTTTTATGGTGCAACTACATCCGCCATCTTGATTTTTCGGAGAGCTTTTCCCCTCCCTTCCCAGCTGTAAGATATCCCTGATGTTTAACATCCTGATGAATTTTGAGAGTTATTTTCCTGAGCTTATGCCAGGGGTTGGCAACCTTGGCTCTTTTATGACTGGTGGACTTCAACTCCCAGAATTCCTGAGCCAGCCATGCTGAGGGAAAAGGGAGAGGTTTCCAAGCTGAGCCATGTTGGCTCAGGAATTCTGGGAGTTGAACTCCACGAGTCATAAAAGAGCCAAGCTTGCCTACCCCTGAACTAGATAGTATAGGGCTCTTCAAACTTGGCCCTTTTATGACTCGTGGACTTCAACTCCCAGAATTCCTGAGCCAGCATGGGGAAACTATGGCCCCCTCATGACTCGTGGACTTCAACTCCCAGAATTCCTGAGCCAGCATGGCTCAGCTTGGAAACCTCTCCCTTTCCCCTCAGTGTGGCTGGCTCAGGAATTCTGGGAGTTGAAGTCCACGAGTCATAAAAGAGCCAAGGCTGCCTACCCCTGGCTTATACGGTCAGATCTGTAGAGTTTGAAGTCTTCAACGGAAAATAAGATTTCCAAGCCTGAACTAAAGAAGCAGCATTGAAAAGTGCCAATCTCATCCAAGATTGTGATTCCGCCCAAATTAAACATTCTCTCAAATGCGACACAAATCTTTTCTTTAACTATGTCACACAGGGAGTTCTCGAGTTACAACCCCAACGGCGACGAGAATTTTCCTTGCTAAGCAAGGCGGTTATTAAGTGAGCCATGCCTGTTTTTACGATATTTTTGTCCATGGTTATTAAGCGAGTCACTGAGTTCTTAAGTGACTCATGAGGTCATTAAGCAAATCCACCTTTCCCCATTGACTTTGCTTGTCAAATGTCACCTGGGAAGATGGCAAATGGGGATCACTTGATCCCAGGATGCTGCAACCGTTGTAAATGCATGCTGAATTTTGATCCTGTGACCATGGGCATACTGCGACGGTCATACGTACGAGGACCAGTTGTAACTCACTTCTTTCGGTCCCTTTGTAACTTCAGAGGGTCTCTAAAGGAATTGTTATAAACTGAGAACTACAGTAGTGGCCAAAATTGTGGAAATCTTTTGGGAAAAGGGTACAGTAGAAATGCCAGCTTTGGTTAAGTTTCCACCCATTTTTCTTTTAATTTCTTTATCACTGTAGCCTTGTTCACTTAATAATACTATTATGTGAATTTAATAATACTATTTTACATTGCTTTCGGGTGACCAGTCAATTCTTTGCACCCATTACTTTTTGCAAGCTCACTAAATGAAAGAATGCAAAAAAAAACCAACCAACTTGATAGCCATCACATAACACACTGACAAATGTCCTCCTCTCAACTTCAATACAGGACGTCAATCACTGGATCCTACTGTGATCTGATTGGCTCATTGCCAAAACAAGATGTCACCCGATTGACTCTCTAAACACTCATGCTCATTGGCTACAATCGGATGAAGGAAAGCTACCTGATATCAACCTAAGCAAGTTGTGCTTCCTTTTTCTGGTTATTTGGCTATAACTTTTCATAGAACACAGTACAGATAATTGAACAAACTATGTTGCATTACATTCTTGATTAAATGATCTTTCCATTGATATATAATTTTATGGTACTACTCCAAAGAAAAGCGCTGTTATTAGCCATCAAACCTCAAAAATACACTTTTCCCAAAAGGTTTCCACAATTTTGGCAGCTACTGTAACTCTACTTTTTTTTTTTTTTTGAGAGGGACAGCTGTGATGTCAAAAATCCACTTCTTTACCAGAATCGTGTGCCGATTGGAACTTGTTCCCCCATTTTCATACTTTCAGGATAGTCTGCTATACTTTTCAGCTTTTTTTTTTTTAAAAAAACCCTCCATTTTCATTTTTTAAAATGCATGCTTTGCAAGACAATCAAACAATCAACCAGTGGATCAGCTTTGTCCAGAAGTTGTGGGTGCTCCATCACTGGAGACTTCCAAAAAGAGACTGGACAGCCATTTGTCTGAAATGGTATAGGGTCTCCTGCCTGAGCAGGGGGTTGGACTAGAAGACCTCCAAGGTCCCTTCCAGCTCTGTTATTCTATGAAATAATAGAAAATACTTGTAGCTCGGGATTTAGATTCTGGCAGTGGTTTGCTCTCCAAGCTTGTTTCAATTTAGTTTCTGAACGTTTCGTTACCACAATAGACAACATCATTTTCCTTAGCTTATAAATGTGTGCCAGTGTGATTGGTTATCGGTTTGGATCTATATTTAAATTCTGAGCAGCTGATTGAATTTAAATATGTAATTTAAATCCCCAAGTGAATCAGTGCAGAAAAGAAGAATAGATTTTTAGGTGCGCCCCAAGCCAACGGTTGCAGGAATTGAGTATGTCTGTTCTAGTGAAAAGAAGGATGTTATGATAGCCCTCTTCTAATATTTGAGGGGCTGCCACAATAAAGAGGGGGCCAGTCTATTCTCCAAACCACTTGAAGGCAGGACAAGAAGCAATGGATGGAAAGTAATCAAGGAGAGAAGCAACCTTGAACTAAGGAGGAATTTCCTGACAGTTGAGGCCAATTTATAAGAGGAATGTCTTCCCTCCGGAAGTTGTGGGTGCTTCATTACTGGAGGTTTTTAAAAAGAGACCATTTGTCTGAAATGGTATAGGGTTTCCAGCTTCAGCAGGGGGTTGGACTAGAGGACCTCCAAGGTCCCTTCCAATCCTGTTATCTGTTCTCCAAAGCACCAGAGGGCAGGATAAGAAGCAATGGATAGAAACTAATCAAGGAGAGAACCAACCTGGAACTAAGGAGAAATCTCTGAACAGTGAGAACAATCAACCATTGGAACAGCTTGCTTTCATAATGGAGGTTTTTAAGAAGAGTTTGAACAGCCATTTGTCTGAAAATGTGTAGGGACTCCTGCCTGAGCAGGGGGTTGGACTAGAAGACCTCCAAGGTCCCTTCCAACTCTATTTTGACTGATTGGTTGAGTAGGCTTAATTCATCATATTGAACTCATGGCAGTAAATCTCAACTTCCAAAAGTTTTAGCTACACTGGAATGACTGTTAAACTGGAATGGCAGATCTTCGGCATCTTTAGGCAAAGGATGATCGACTCTGGAGTAAAAAATCTTCAGATCAGTGTTTCTCAACCTTGGCAATTTTAAGATGCATGGACTTCAACTCCCAGAATCCCCCAGTTACCCATGCTGGCTGGGGAATTCTGGGAGTTGAAGTCCATGTATCTTAAAGTTGCCAAGGTTGAGAAACACTGATTCTAGACCAGTGTATCTCAACCTCTATTACTTTTAAGATGCATGGACTTCAACTCCCAGAATTCCCCCAGCCAGCATCAGTGACTCTGCTATTCTGTTAGGATGTGGACTAACAATAGATTCATCTGTACATTCCCTAACTTGGGTTTGTAACCTCTGGTAATCCACACAGTTTATTTAAGAGCCGTTCTTTGCTCCGTTGAAGACCTTCAGAGTAAATGTTCCCTTCTGGGTTCAATTTCCCTTATAATTTCTTGTTCTATAGGAGGTCTCAAGGCCTCCGGATATAGATCTCACCGCTTTCGTCTTCCAGGATCTCCTCAATCCGGCTCCGCTGAAAAACAAAGAGAAAGGGGGGGGGGGAGAAGAGAAGTTCAAAAAAAAGGAAAAGACTGTTTAACGAAAAGGAAGACGAGGGGGGACATGATAGCAGTGTTCCAATATTTGAGGGGTTGCCACAAGGAAAAGGGAGTCAACTTATTCTCCAAAGCACCTGAAGGCAAGACAAGGAGCAATGGATGGAAACTAATCAAGGAGAGAAGCAACTTGGGATTAAGGTGAAATTTCCTGGCAGTGAGAACAATGAACCAGTGGAACTGCTTGCCTCCAGAAGTTGTGGGTGCTCCATCACTGGAGGTTTTTAAGAAGAGACTGGACAGCCACTTGTCTGAAATGGTATAAGTCCGTGGTGGCGAACCTATGGCACGGGTGCCACAGGTGGCACGCAGAGCCCTCTGTGTGGGCACGTGCACTGTCGCCCCAGTCCTAGGCCTTCAGCTGGGTTTTATAAAACTTTTTTGCTTTAGGCCTCCGCCGCCGTGTGGAAAAAAAAGGCTCAATTAATCAATCAATTTCAGCTTCTTGCGGAAAAAAAAAGGTCTCGCAAAGTTGGAATTTATTGATTGAACTTTTTAGTCCCACCCAGTCTGCCGTTACCACCGCAGCCACGCCCACCCAATGGGCCATGCCCTCCCAATGGGCCACACCCCAATGGGCCACACCCCAATGGGCCACACCCCACTAATGGGCCACGCCCACCCGGCAACTGACTATATATAGGTGGGTTTTGGGTTGCAGTTTGGGCACTCGGTCTCTAAAAGGTTTGCCATCACTGGTATAGGTCCTCCTGCTTGAGCAGGGGGCTGGACTAGAAGACCTCCAAGGTCCCTTCCAGCTCTATTCTGATTAAAGGAGCTTTATTGTTGTTATTTAGAGCAGGGGGATCATAGCAGCAGCCCATGGGCCGGATACGTCATGCTCAGGCCACACTCACCCCAGGTTCCACACAGGCAAAAAAAATTTGCGATACATCAGAATATGTCACATGACGCCATCGAGTTTGATACCTGTGAGGTCCCTTCCATCATCATCATCATCATCATCATCATTATTATTATTATTATTATTATTATTATTATTATTATTTAGAGTGTCAGGCATGCTATTAGCCATCTGTATGGGGGAAGTCTCTATTGCAGACATGTCAAACACAAGGCCCGGGGGCTGGATGCAGCCCATGAAGTGGTTTCATGTGGCCTGCGAAGCCATCCTGGAAACAGTGAGGGAACGGCCCCCACTGCCTTGGCCCTGGCCCAGACCGGCCGGGAGCCAATGTACAATTTTGTGGTGGCCATCAATGCTGAAACGCATTCAGCTCCACAAGGCCGTCTGGAAACAGCGAGGAACCAGCCCCTGCCACGTCCGCCCCGCCCCCTGGATGCATGCTGGGGAGGGGTCACCCTTTGTGAGGAATGAAGAAATGCACCATCACCTGGAAGTGGCCAGCAAATGGCCTTCGCCTACTTCACAGATCCGGCTTGATGGGCTCTGCCCTGGTCCCACCCCCTTCTGCCAGAGACCCTCAGATCTGTCCCACTCCTGCCCAGGTCCCCACAGGCACCCTTGATGCGAATGATGTAGAGCTGGCCACACCCACCCAGTAGGCCACACCCACTCCATCCACGCCCACCCAGTAGGCCAAACCCACCCTGGCCACACCCCCCCCCCGAGGGCAACCGCAATGCTGATGCGGCCCTCAATGAAATTGAGTTTGACACCCCTGCTCTATTGCTAACATTTACCTGAAGGGTGTTCATGCAGTCAGACAATTTTGCAATGTTTCTCCTGGGGGGGAGGAAGACTTCCAGCCTCACCGCACCTTTTGCGTTTCTCTGGAAGGAGATCAGGAAGTTGATCTCTTGCGCCTGGAGCCAAAGAAACAAAGATAAACTTGGGGTGAGAAACTTCATACACGTGACTTGGCACACTACAGGTGGTCCTCGACTCACGACCACAACTGAGCCCCATTTTTTTTTGTTGCTAAGTGAGACAATTGTTAACTGAGTTTTGCTCCCTTTTACAACCTGGCTTGCCACAGTTCTTAAGTGAATCATTGCAGTTGTTCAGGTGGTAATCTGGTTGTTAAGTGAATCTGGCTTCCCCCCCAGTGACTTTGCTTGTCAGAAGTTGGGAAAAAGGTGATCATGTGACACCAGGACCCCACCGTCATCAATGTGAGTCACCTGAGGATTTAAAAGCTCTGCTATGGAAGCCTGTTTGGCACAAAAGGAAGGCCAGAGTTAGACTTAAAAGGTTGTTTTTTTATGCGACCTTTAATGGAAGAGCCTAAAATTTCACTTAATGGGCTAAGGAAAGTTTAAAAGACATTAATTGATCAAATATTTAGGATTTAGACTCATAAGGGAAATAAAAATGAGTTACTAGAATAATAGTTTTGAATTATATTATAGAAGATGGATTCAGATGAGAAAGGTTATATTATTAGTAAGTGATGATATTAGGATGAGAAGTAGAAAATGCTTGTGAAATAAAGTAAGAATTTATCTGAATAAATAATAAGTGTATTTTAGATATAACTGTTTACATGAAAGCTGTGACATGACCACTGAAGTAAAGACAAAGATAGAGAAAGCTCGAACAGCATTCTTCAAAATGAAAAAGGTCTTCTGCAGTCACGACATAAGCCTAAGACTGAAAATCAGGCTTGTCAGATGCTACATTTTCTCTATCCTGCTCTGACAGAAGGCCACCTGAAGAGACTAGAAGCATTTGAAATGTGGATTTTCAGGCGACTGTTATGTATAAGCTCGGTTGACAAGATCAGAAATGAGGAGGTGATAAGCCGCCTGGGAAAGCCAAGGGAAATCATCAAAACAATTAAAAAACGAAAGTTAGAATATTTCGGACATGTGATGCGACACCCAGAAAAATACGGCATACTCCATTTAATCCTCCAGGGAAAGACTGAAGGCAAACGAGGTCCAGGCAGAAGAAGAACATCGTGGCTTCAAAATCTAAGGCACTGGTTTGGACAAAACTCAGCAGCACTTTTTCGTGCGGCTGCTGATAAAAACAGGATCGCCAACATGATGGCCAATGTCCGATAACAGATATGGCACAAGAAGAAGAAGAAGAACTATTTCATAATGAACTAAGGGAACTGTGGGCTATCCGAAATCTAAATACTATGGACATTAAGCCAACTGGAATACTGTAACTGAAATCAGATAAAAGTTAAAAACAGGATATGGAGGCGTATAAGTCAAAAGATATTGATAGATGTTTCAATTGATTGAGTTATAACTAGCAATGTATTAATTTGAATGTGATATAATAACCAAGAGAAACAGAGAGGAGATTTTTGATGATGTAACCTGACATATGTATGAAAGAGCTTGTTATTGGACTATGGATTACCCAACCACCATGTTTCTTCCTTAATACGTGGAGCTTTGTAAAATTGGAAAATAAAATTTGTTTAAAAAAATAAAAATAAAATAAACGTGAGTCAGTTGCCAAGCATCCAAATGTTGATCATGTGACCGTGAGGCAGCTGTGTGAAAAGGGTCATAAGTCACTTTTTTCAGTGCCACTGAACGGTCACTAAACGAACTGTTGTAAGTCGAGGACTACCTGTAGAAGTGACACTGGCCATTACAGCAACTCTTGACTTATTCCCATTCGTTTAGTGACTGCTTGAACTTACAAACAGCCCTGAAATGTGATTTACAAGTAATCCTCACCCTTACAACTTCTCAAACTACTGCAAATATGTGTAGAGAGTTACCAAACCACTGAGGCATTTTTACAAGTAGCTGACAATGCAGAGGAGTTAAGTGTAATTTAGGAATATAAACCTGATACCAATCTTTATTATGATGGTTTAAATAGAAACCTGCCAACATAATTGAAATAAGAGCTCCAGGAAAATCTGCAACTTTTAAAAGGACAGGTTTGGGACTTTTTTCTTCCTGGACATTAATAAGGTTGAAAAATCCATGAGAAAAAGAGAAGCTTATAACTATTTGACAAACAGTCCAGACAAGAAAAATATTTTATTCCATGAGGAAAAGCTGGAAGGAGGGACTTAAACCTAATGAGTCAGTTGGAATTAGGATGGATTTTTATTGGTGTGATATTCATAACTGAAAGAAAGTCTTAATCTAAAGTTTGAAAATGCCGGCAGGAATGGTACGGGCCAAGCAGACCGGCAACCAATGAAGAGATTTTAGAAATAGAAATAGAATAGAATAGAATAGAATACAGAATGGAATGAATAGAATATAATACAGAATACAGAATAGAATAGAATAAAATAGAATAGAATAGAATAGTTGGAAGGGACCTTGGAGGTCATCTAGTCCAACCCCCTGCTCAGGCAGGAAACCCTATACCATTTCAGACAAATGCTTGCCCAGCCTCTACTTAAAAACGTCCAGTGTTAGAGCATTCCTAACTTCTGGAGGCAAGTTGTTCCACTGATTAATTGTTCTAGGTGTCATTAGTCAGTTTGGATAGCCATTTGTCTGAAATTGTATAGGATGTCCAGATTGGGCAGGGGTTGGACTAGAACAGAGTTCCCCAACTTTTCCAGCTTTGTGGACCTGCGGGGGTGGGGGGGAGAGGGGATGGTTTCGCACAAGTGGCCAGCAAATGCTCCATTTGCGCGAGCGGCAGGCATGCACACTTGCTGGTTCACTGCTCACGCAAGTGGGGATGCACATGCCTGTCACTTCCGCAGCCCGGTTCTGAACGGCTCATGACTCAGTAGTGGGACCTCTGGACTCGAAGACTAGAAGACCTCCAAGGTCCCTTCCAATTCTCTTGTTCTGTTATTCTAAGCTGGGGGTCTTCAAACCTGGCCCTTTTATGACTTGTGGACTTCAACTCCCAGAATTCCTCAGCCAGCATGCCACGGTGGCTGAGGAATTCTGGGAGTTGAGGTCCACAAGTTATAAAAGGGCCAGGTTTGAAGACCCCTGCTCTAAGCCGAAAAGCCAAGCCCACTCACTCGCAAATTCTGGTACTGGAGCCTTGTGTTTCGAAGGCGGTTCCGTGCTTCAGAAGCCTTGAGGACCCCAATCAGGTTTTTATCTTCCAGTTCCTTTTGCCGATTGTCCAGGGCTTTCCTCTCTTTCATAAGAGCTGCGGCCAGCATCGTTTTCACATCCGGCTTGGTTGGATCGGCAAAGGCCAAATAGCGTGCTTTTTGCTCGGGCGTCATCTTGCTCGCATCACAGGAAGATTTCCGAAATCGTGGGGCAGGCTTGTTCCTCAGAAGAGTTTTAGCGTCGGCCATGTTGGCTCACTTCTCAGCCAGGTTTGGAAGCTGCTGAGGGAAAAACATTCAAGGGGGTTTAAGCCATGGAGTGGAAACCTTTGGGATCTGTGAGTCATTATCACTGGAAATCCCATGCATGAGAAAACTGTGAGGGTGCCCTGACGTTCTGGGGGCTTCAGCTTATGGATACAGGTAGTCCTCGACTACAACAACAGTAACTGTTGAAGGAAAAGTCTTCATCATGGTTCAGTCCAAGCTGGGAATAAACAACACGGCGACTGCTTTAGAAAGAACGTTGCAGTTTATTGAAAAGGAGAGCCAGACAGACAGATGGCTCTGGAAGAAAAGAGAGACCAAGCACATGTAGGGAGTGGGTTTTTATATCCTCTGGAGCCTTTTGTTTGGAGTTGTTCCTGTGGCATAAACTTTGACCTGTGTCTGAGTGCGCCTTTTGGCATCTGTAGGTTAATCCTATTATGTCCTGTCTTAAGAGTTTGGGTGGGGTATGTAGATTCTAGGTGTTTTTGTCTTCCTAATCTTCTAGCTGGGGGCCTCCAACCTTCCTGAATGGATTATTTACATCTGCATTTCTACAGAGCTGGTTTCTGCTTGGGGGAGGGAGACTTGGGATCATTAAGAAAAACTGGGCATGCTTTTCTGCCTCTTTAAGATCCTTTGAGGAAATATAATATTTTGCCCTTTTAATATTTTCTTCTCTGGGGGGCTGACTTTCCCCATGACCATTCAAAGTTACAACGGCACCGAAAAAAGGGACTTTTGACCATTTGTCACAGTGACAATCTTTGCAGCATCCCCATCATCGTGTGACCAAAATTCAGATGCTTGTCAACCCATTCATAGTTATGACCGTTGCTGTGTCCTAAGATCATGTGATCACCTTTTATAACCGTCTGACAAGCAAAGTTCCAATATCTCAGGGGCTGCCACAAAGAAGAAGGAGTCAAGCTATTTTCCAAGACGCCTGAAGGCAGGACAAGAAGCAACGGATGGAAACTAAGCAAGGAGAGAAGCAACCTAGAACTAAGGAGAAACTTCCTGACAGTTAGAACAATTAACAATTAATTAACCAGTGGAACAACCTGCCTCCAGAAGTGGTGAATGCTCCACCACTGGAGGTGTTTAAGAAGAGACTGGACAGCCATTTGTCCGAAATGGTGTAGGGTTTCCTGCCTGAGCAGGGGGTTGAACTATATGACCTCCAAGGTCCCTTCCAACTTTACTATAATTATTATTATTAAAGTCAATGGGGGAAGCCACTTAGCAAGCAAGTTACTAACTTATCAACTGCAGTGATTCACTTAACCGCTGAGACAAGAAATGTTGTAAAATGAGACAAAGCTCACTTAACAAATGTCTCACTGAAGGACAGAAATTGTGGGCTCAATTGTGGTCATAAGCCGAGGATTGCTTGTATTTCTACTCGACCAAGGAAAAACTCAACTTCATCCATCCATCCATCCATCCATCCATCCATCCATCCATTTCTCTCTCTCTCTCTCCCTCCCTCCCTCCCTCTCCCTCCCTCCCTCCCTCCCTCCCTCTTTCTCTCTCTCTCTCTCTCTCTTAAATGTATTTGCTGCCCATCTCATTTCAAAATGACTGTGGGTGGCTTACAGGGGGTTGGACTAGATGACCTCCAAGGTCCCTTTCAACTTTACTACTATTACTATTACATCACCAAAACATTAAAATCATAAAAAAATATATCCCTAACCCAATAAAATGACAATTTTCAACTCTTCTGATCCTAAATCTGGACTGCAAAAATCAAAACAATGAAGCTATTAACTGGGAGACCAGATTTCTGCAACCCAGATATTGTTGCCCCGACAATCTGTTCCAGACATGTCAAACACAAGGCCCGGGGCCCGGATGCGGCCCGCGAAGTGGTTTCATGTGGCCCGCGAAGCCATCCTGGAAACAGTGAGGGAATGGCCCCCGCTGCCTTGGCCCTGACCCAGGATGGCCGGGAGCCAATGTACAATTTTGTGGTGGCCATCTATGCTGAAACGCATTCAGTCTTAGCTCCATAAGCTCTCCCCCCCCCCCCGCTTGGCCTGAGAGGAACAGTGAGGCTCCTCCAGTGGACCATGCCTTGGCATTTGTCCTGGTCTCACCCCCTTCTGCCAGAGACCCTCAGATCTATCCCACTCCTGCCCAGGCCCCCACAGGTACCCTTGACGCAAATGGTGTAGAGCTGGCCACACCCACCCAGTAGGCCACACCCACTCCATTCACACCCACCCAGTAGGCCGCACCCACCCGCCCCCCTGAGGGCAACCACAATGCTGATGCGGCCCTCAATGAAATTGAGTTTGACACCCCTGCCCTAACCCAATAAAATGACAATTTTTAACTCTTCTGATCCTAAAACTGGACTGCAAAAATCAATACACTGAAGCCATTAACTGGGAGGCCAGATTTCTGCAACCCAGATATTGTTGCCCCCGACAATCTGCTCCTTTGACTAGGAATGTTTAAGCGGGCATGTAAACCCAAATGCAACAGAGGAAAGCGAGCTGCTGTTTTCATGACTTCTCCTAACATTTCACAATGGGTTAAAAATGAAAAAGACTGAAATTCTCCCATCATTTAGTTCAAAGGGATTCTCTGCAAACTGCTTAATTATTGTGAAATCATTTGGTCGTTGGTTTTATTTTTTATTTTTTTGCTCTGCAGGAAATCACTGAGATGGCAAGTGGTTTAATGGCAAGTGTGATAATGGCCCTGTAATTGCATCTTTATACTCTATTTTAATTGCATTCCAGTGTTTTGGGGGGTTTGTTTCTGAGTCGTCCAGACAAAGCTGTTGATCAGGCTAATAGAATTACAGCACAGAAATAAATACGCTTTCCTGAAACTAACTTGAAATGGACACTTAACATTAGAACCGTCCTTAAAAAGGCACAACAAAGAATTGTTTTCAACTTAGGAACTTCTGGCTACCCCAGGAGCTATTGATACAGTTCTACAGAAGTGTACCTGGAAGTGTGTTAAATTCTTGCAGAGATGCTTGACTGGTCGAAGCGACTGGCGGAAAATCTCCTCCAACCGGCTCCAACATCAGCGTGTGCAATGTACAGGTGGTCCTCAACTTACAACTGTTCCTTTAGTGACCGTTTGAAGTTACAATGGCACTGAAAAAAGGGCCTTATGACCATTTTTCGCACTTCCGGCTGTTACAGCATCCCCCTATGGTCACGTGATCAAAATTCAAATGCCTGGCAACTGGCTCATATTTATGATGGTTGCAGTCTCATAAGGTCATAAAATGGGGCAAAATTCACCTAAATGTCTTACTTAGCAACAGAAATGTGGGGCTCAGTTGTGCTTGTAAGTCAAGGACTATCTGCATCTCTCTCTTTCTCTTTCTTTCTCTCTCTCTCATCTATCAATCTATCTATCTCTATTTCTATCTATCCATCTATCCATCCATCCATCCCTATCTCTCTCTCTCTTTCTCTCTCTCTCTCTCTCTCTCTCACACACACACAAATTATCATCTATCTATCTATCTATCTATCTATCTATCTATCTATCTATCTATCTATCTCTCTATCCATTCATCCCTATCTCACACACACATACACACACATCTCTCTCTCTCTATCCATTCATCCCTATCTCTCTTTCACACACACATACATCTATCTATCTATCTATCTATCTATCTATCTATCTATCCATTCACCCCTATCTCTCTCTCTCTTTCACACACACAAACACATCCCTCTCTCTCCATTCATCCCTCTCTCTGTCTCTTTCACCCCGTCTCTATCTATCTATCTATCTATCTATCTATCTATCTATCTATCTATCTATCTATCTATCTTACATATGCATCTCTGTGTGTGATTTTTTTTCAATGTATTAAGATAGAGAAACTGGAAAGGAATTAAAGAAAAAAGGCAAAAAGGCATACAGTTGTGCCTCCTGACCTTCTATCTATTGAGTAATTATCCTCTTAAACCTTTCCTCAACCTCTTCATCTCTTTTTAATCCCCAAATCCTGAAATTGTCCATTTGGGGTTTCCCCCCCTTCTTTCAGCAGAAAAAAAAATCATATAAGGTCACCAGGTCAAAGCTAGATGACGCTTGCTAGACTCTGTGAAATCCAGGGATGAACAAATGGACATATTCAAAGCTTTTGCCATTATAAATGCTCGTATATTTTTGAAACAGCCGCTACCTTTGGGGAAATCCAGTGACGTTTTTGCTGCTGTCTACGAAAGCCTCAGTCTCCTTTAGCTGCTTGTTGGAATCCAAGGAAAGTTCATAAGTATCACGTTGTCAGAAAGGCACAAGCTGTCAATCAACTTTGGGAGGCAAAGATAATACAAGAATTTTGCGGCATCTCAAACCTGAATTCATTCATTACATATGCAACAATGAATACCTAACACAGAATGCTCAGTGCACAGTGCTGTGTTATTATTCACAATGGTTGGGCTAGAAGCCCTTTTCTTTTATTTTCTAGGAGACTGTAATGTTTGTGTTGGTGGACATGGGTGAATTGTGGCGGCCAAGCCATGTTTGAGCAGAGTAAACATTCCTTCTCTTCTGCTCCATTCTGATTCTAAGATGCTAATCCTTTTGTGACTTGCTCAGTTTGAGCCAGTTGGATTAGTTGGATTGACAGGTGGGAAATGGTGGTCATTGTTTATGTGCTTATGCCCTGGTCTAGGTAGCTCAAAAGTCAATCAACCGACCAAGCAACCCCCCCCCCTCTCCACCCATCTCTCTATCTCAATCCATCCATCATCCATCTATCTATCATCTCTCCATCAATCCATCTCTCAATCCATCATCCATCTATCTATCTATTTCTCTATCCATCCATCCATCCATCCATTTATCTAATTGACTGACCAAACAATCATGTCTGTGTGTCCGTCCATCCACCTCTCTCTCTCATCTCTCTCCATCTATCATCCATCTATCTATCATCTCTCCATCAATCCATCTCTCAATCCATCATCCATCTATCTATTTCTCTATCCATCCATCCATTTATCTAATTGACTGACCAAACAATCATGTCTGTGTGTCCGTCCATCCACCTGTCTCTCTCTCTCATCTCTCTCCATCTATCATCCATCTATCTATCATCTCTCCATCAATCCATCTCTCAATCCATCATCCATCTCTCCATCCATCCATCCATCCATCCATCCATCTATCCATCCATCATCCATTCATTTATCTAATGACTGACAAAACAACCATGTCTGTGTGTCCGTCCATCCACCTCTCTCTCTCATATCTCTCTCTCTCTCCCTCCCTCCCTCTCTCTCTCACCTCTCTCTATCTCTATCTCTATCCATCCATCATCCATCTATCTATCATCTCTCCATCAATCCATCCCTCAATCCATCATCCATCTCTCCATCTCTCCATCCATCCATCCATCCATCCATCCATCATCCATCCATCCATCCATTTAGCTAATTGACTGACCAAACAACCATGTCTGTGTGTCTATCCATCCACCTCTCTCTCTCTCTCTCTCTCTCTCTCTCTCTCTCCATCCATCATCCATCTATCCATCTCCCCATCCATCCATCCATCCATCCATCATCCATCTATCCATCTGACTGACAAACCAACCAACCACACAATTAACTTTTTTTAAAATTGAAATCCTTTGGGAAGAATGAATTAAGAAACAGGAAGCAAAGCCTTAACAAGCACTTACCCCTTAAAAATTTCCCCCCAATTTTTTTTTAAAAACTAATTTTCCTCAAGTATAACTAAAGGAATTGCGGAGGCTGCCACCTTATGGCTTCATTCATGGGGTTTATTCTTTTTTAAATCAACTGCCATTTGTAGAATTGCTCAATCAACATATTTCACTAAATTTCAGAAGTTTATGCCCTTCTAGATTGTGCTGTACTTACAGCCCAGAAAACATAGTTCAGTTTATGAATATGTTCACCCAGCATGCTTAAGCAAATTATTATAAGATGTGGTAATCATGCAAAACATTAAGCTTGGTTAATATTAACCTTTGGCTAGTAGAGATAATTTTGTAGGTGCCTCAGCTTGTGGGATGAACCAGATGTTTTGATTAGTTTATAGTTTACATACGAGTCCTTCCCCTGGGGGGGGGGAGACTCAGTAACCAGGTAAAATGCAATGTCTGTGTCAATTTTATCAAGATGCAGTCTGACAGCCAGCAATGATGAGAAAAAGAAAGAAAAAGAAAGAAAGAAAGAAAAGAAAGAAAGAATGGGAGGGAAGAAGAAAGGTAAGAAGGGGTGATAAAAGGAAGGGAGGGAAAGAGGAAGGAAGGAGGAATAAAAAGGGATGGAGGGAAGGAGGAAGGAAAGAAGAAGGAAGGATAAAAAGGGAGGGAAGGAAGAAGGGAAGGAAGAATAAAAAAGGGAAAGAGGAAGGAAGGATAAAAAGGGAGGGAGGAAGGAAGGAAACAAGAAAGAAAGGAAGGAAGGAAAGGAGGGAGAGAGGGAGGAAAAGTTAGGTAGATAAGGAAGTGAAGGAGGGAAACAGGAGGAAGAGGAGGAGGAAGAAGATGAGGTAGAAGGGTGGGAGGGAAGAAGGAAGGAAGGGAGAGATGGTGGGAGAAAAAGTTAGATAGATAAGGAAGTAGGGGGAAAGAGGGAGGAGGAGGAGGAAGAATAGAAGGAAGGAAGGAAGGAAGGAAGGAAGGAAGGAAGGAAGGAAGGGAGGAAGGGAGGAAGGATAGGGAGGGTACAAAGGGGAGCGGAGACCAAGCTAGCTCTCCCCCATTTATCAAGTAGAACATTTTACCATTTAGAATTTTTTTTCACCCATGGTTTGGGGAAAGATGGTCCAAAGAGATCATTGGGGCAAAGATCAGTTGCGTGAGACGGCTTGGATCCCAAATCAATATCTGATATTGTGAAATACAGTTTCCAGCAGCCCCACACAGGCCGGGGAATTCTGGGAACTGCAGTTCTGCAACATCTGGAAGGCTCCAGGTGTTTTTCCTGGGCCAGAGCGAGAGCCTCGGCTCCCCCCCCCATTCTTTCCACCCACCTCCCCACTCGTGTCCCTCCCATCCCGGGGCTGAGTCTCACCTGTTTCCAGCCCAACATCCCTTTCTGCTCTTCTGAAGGGTCAGCTCTCCTGTCCCTTGGTCCCCAGGTTTTGAGTGTACAAATATCTCCATGGGAACGCAGTTGCCAAGCAACCCAGACAATGGGGAAATAGCCCTCCCCTCTTTCCTCAGCTGCCAGCCCACCCACTGACCGCTGAGCTGGCAGCCTTTAGGGCAGTGATGGCGAACCTTTTAGAGACCGAGTGCCCAAACTGCAACCCAAAACCCACTTATGCATCGTCGAGTGCTGGGTGGGTGTGGCCCATTGGGTGGGTGTGGCTGCAGTGGTAACGGCAGACTGGGCGGGACTAAAAAGTTCAATCAATCCATTCCAACTTTGCAAGATCTTTTTTTTTCCCACGAGAAGTTGAAACTGACTGATTGAACCTTTTTCTTTTTTCTTTTGCACACGGCGGCAGAGGCCTAAAGCGAAAAGCTTTTATAAAACCCAGCTGAAGGCCTAGGACTCGGGCGATGGCGCGCGTGCCCACAGAGAGGGCTCTGAGTGCCGCCTCTGGCACCCGTGCCATAGGTTCCCACCACTGCTTTAGGGAAACGGAGAGGCCAGCACCCCCAATTTGATACGTCTTTACTAGCTGAATGTCCTTCAGCCTTCCAAGGGGACGATCGCCCCAAGTCCCTGAACATTATAATTCAGGTTTCACGCGCCGCATTGAAACAAAACTCACCCTTCCCTTCAGCTGCAATGAAAAGCCCATGGTGGAGAGGCCGGGATAAAACAATTGGCTTCCCGAGCTGGCTTTTCAAAATGTGCCAGCAACTGTTTCCATGGGGTTCTGCGGCTTGGAACTGTTTGCAGGCATTATTGTCTCCTGTTGCTTGCACACACAGCCAGGATGACATTTCAGGAGAGGCTGCCTGGATGGATTGCGGGGGAGGAAATCGAGGCAGGGAGAAGCAGAAGGCCGGGGCAAGCCAGAGCCTGTTGGCAAAACAGCCTGTGTGTAATTCTGTGCAAAAAGCCACTTGCCACGAGAGACGATTGTGTAACTGCGCTTCTATTTGATGCAAAGGAGATAGGAAACTGACTCCTTCCTCCCTCCCTCTCTCCCTCTCCTTCCCTCCCTCCCTTGCTCCTTTTCTTCTTTTTCCATTCCTCCCCTCCCTCATTTCCTCCCTTCTCCTCTCTCTTCCTTTCTCTCCTTCTCTTCTTTCCTCCCTCATTTCCTCCCTCCCTCCCTCCGTGCCTCCCTCCCTTTGCTCCTTCCTTCCTTCTTTATTTCTTCCCTCCCTCATTTCCTCCCTCCCTCCGTCCCTCCCTTCCTTCTCTCCTTCCTTTCTTCTTTATTTCCTCCCTCCCTCATTTCCTTCCTTTTTTCCCTCCTTCCTTCCTTTCTTCCTTCTTCCTTCCTTCCTTTCTTTTTCTTTCTTCCCTCCCTCCCTTGCTCCTTTCCTTCCTTTTCCATTCCTCTCCTCCCTCCCTCATTTCCTCCCTTCCTTCTCCTCTCTCTTCCTTCTCTTCTTTCCTCCCTCATTTCCTCCCTCATTTCCTCCCTCCCTTCCTTCCCTTCCTTTCTTTCCTCCCTCTCCTTCCTTCTTTATTTTCTCCCTCCCTCATTTCCTTCCTTCCTCCCTCCCTCCCTCCCTTCCTTCTCCTTCCTTTCTTCATTTCCTCCCTCATTTCCTTCCTTTTTTCCTTCCTTCCATCTTTCTTTCTTTCCTTCCTTCCTTCCTTCCTTCCTTCCTTCTTCCTTCCTCTCTCTCCTTCCTGCCTTCCTTCCTTCCTTCCTTCCTTCCTTCCTTCCTTCCTTCCTTCCTTCCTCCCTCCCTCCCTCCCTCCCTTCCTTCCTTCCTTCCCTTAATTTGCCTTTCAGTAAAAAACATGTAAAGGCAACCCCCCCCCCCCAAGAAAACCATTTGCAGAAGAGGAAGGAAAAAGATTGCGAAATGAAGCAGGAATATGTGTAGAGGCTTTGACAACTCAGGCCAGCCCTTTGAGTTAGACCAGGTCAAGAAAAACGCTTACTGTAGCAGGGATTTGAGGAATGCTCTTTATAATAATAAGGTAGAATAACAAAACTTGCTTTTTATTTGGTACCGATTCCATCGGTGCCAATTTTAAGGAAAACATCATCAGGCTACGAATTAGACAAGCAAGGGATTAAAGTCTCACATTTCCGTGATTGGATGGATGGATGGGTGGTTGGCTTGAAATTATATGCAAAGTTTTCTAGAGAAATTCAATCAAGCATCAGGTTTGAATTTTTAGTGATGCCATCAGGATGGAATTGGAATTGAATAAAAGTACTGAACTCTCAATAAAAAATGAAAAAAAAAATAGAATACTCAGATGGAATTGAACTATGGAACGACATCAAATCAAAGCATTAACACTGGGAGGACAGTTGTAAATGTTTGAATGTTAAAAGCAAATAATAGAAGTGAAAACTAATACCAGTGCAGAATATGTAATAAAAACAATGCAGAGTTAGAAACATTTAAAAAAATCAAAACTGAATTATGGTCATGCACTCAAACACAATACTCAGAGAAATAAGCAGTATGCAACTAACAAACCCCTTCTGCCCAGTCCAACACAACCAGAAGCAGATGCAACTTATGTGAACTATTACAGGAAAAGGTTAGGAACTTAGAAGCAACTCTAGCCAAACGCCAACATACAAAAGGAAGCTCCACCCAAACTGAACCAAACAACGAACAAATAACTCCCAGATGACTTGTCCCTACTGATGAACCGTTGGAGGAAGACAAATGGAGGAATGCCACACATAGAAGATACCCAAAGAAAGAAACAGCATACAACAACCAATCCCTTCTGCCCAATCCTACCCAACTGACCAATCGATTTCTCCCCTTAGACAGAAACACACAGACCCACAACTCCCCCTCAAAGAAGACATGCAGACACTTAGCAAAAAGACAGCTTCAGATATCCCTAAAAATGTCAATTCAAATATGCCTAAAAATGCCACATCAATAAACACACCTGAGATAAAACAGAAAAGCACCCCAGACTGCAGGCCCCCCAAAAGAAAAGAGAGCGTTGGTAATAAGAGACTCTATCCCAGTGGCTCTCAACCTGTGGGTCGGGACCCCATTTGGGGTCGAATGACCATTTCACGGGGGTCGCCAAACAACACAGTCTGCCATTTTTTCCCCTTTTCCTTAGCTGTGCTACTCCTTTTTATTCTATTGGCTTTTGAAAGCCAATAGAATAGACTCTCTTGAATAGAGTCTAATTCTATTGGCTTTCAAAAGCCAATAGAATAAAAGACTCTCTTGAATAGAGTCTAATTCTATTGGCTTTCAAAAGCCAATAGGAATTGTCCAGGCTGTCTCTGCCCTGCTGAGCCCGCCAAAAGTCCCATTCTGCAAACGGTGCTGCACCAGTTGAGTAGTCCTTGACTTACGACCAGTTGAGTAGTCCTTGACTTACGACCGGTTGAGGGTTGCGGCATTAAAAAGATTGAGAACCACTGGTCTATCCTCAAAGGAACAGAATCATCCATCTGCAGACCTGGATATACAATCCAGGGAGGTATGTTGTCTCCCTGGAGCAAAAATCAAAGATGTGGCGGAGAACCTAACCAAAATAATTAGGCCCACAGATTACTACCCCGTCCTCCTCCTCCACATTGGGACCGACGGCACAACAAAGAACCTGAGTACAATAGTGGGAGATTACAAACAACTAGGCAATAAAGTCAAGAAGCTAGGAGCACAAGTAGTGTTCTCATCAGTACTCCCAACGAAAGGCTAACACCCACTGAGGGGAAAAAAGAATTTTAGAAATAAACCTTTGGCTAAAGAGTTGGTGTCCCCAAGAAAACTTTGGTTTCCTGGATTTTGGATTATGCATTTCCTACGCGAAAGACTCTTGGCAAGGAATGGACTGAACTTCCTGAAAACAGGGGAAAATGTACTGGGAAAAAGACTGGCCCAACTCATCAGGAAGGCTTTAAACTAAAATCAAGGGGGAAGGGTGACCAATCTCTAGAATCTCTAGAACCCAAAACCAATCACAAATGCCAAGAAAACAAATCAAACAATGAGGTAGGCAGTGATGAGAAAAAAAAGAAAAACTCAAACAACGATCAGGACATGCAGGAAACATACACACGGACAGGCATGCAAGTCTTAAATGGTTATACACGAATGCTCAAAGCTTGGGAAACAAACAGGGCGAATTAGAAGCAATAGTGCACGACGGTATAGGTATAGTATAGGGAGTATCTTGCTCAATAGTAGTAACTTAAATATGAGCCAGCTGTGTGCTGCAGCTGCCAAAAAGGCCAACATAGTGCTAGGGTGCATTAACAGAGGGATAGAATCAAGATCATGTGAAGTGTTAATACCACTTTACAAGGCCTTGGTAAGGCCACACTTGGAATACTGCATCCAGTTTTGGTCACTACGACGTAAAAAAGATGTTGAGACTCTAGAAAGAGTACAGAGAAGAGCAACAAAGATGATTAGGGGACTGCAGGCTAAAGCATATAAGGAACGGTTGCTGGAATTGGGTATGTCTAGTTTAATGAAGAGAAGGATGAGGGGGGACATGATAGCAGTCTTCCAATATCTCAGGGGCTGCCATGAAGAAGAGGGAGTCAAGCTATTCTCAAAAGTGCCTGAAGGCAGGACAAGAAGCAGCAGATGGAAACTAATCAAGGAGAGAAGCAACCTAAAACTAAGGAGAAACTTCCTGACAGTGAGAAGAATTAACCAGTGGAACAACCTGCCTCCAGAAGTTGTGAATGCTCCAACACTGGAAGTTTAAGAAGAGACTGGACAGCCATTTGTCTGAAATGAAATAGGGTTTCCTGCCTGAGCATATTTTAAGAATTTCTTTACTTCGAATTTGGAAGAAATATTACAGGATAGATTCAAGAATTCCATTATGGGCCATTCCGGGGCATGCAATAGAAGGAATAAGGAAAGGAGTGAAGATGGACAGTATTTCTTATAAACAATTACTTAATTGGGATGGGAAGAATTGGCAATTAAAACATATAGATGAATTAGCACAAGAAAATATTATTTATTCGTGGTTTCAGTATAGACAATTATTGGAAAGGTGGAAGATAGATTATAAAGTGGGTTTGATTAGAGAGGATGAAAATTTGTTGAAACAAATTAAAGATCAAAGTCGATCTCACATAAAAAGAATTTATGATGTATTAGTGGAATTGGATTCAGAAACAGAATTAGTTAATGATTGCATGGTTGAATGGGCTCAAAATTTTGATGAGCCGGTT